AAAAAAAAAAAAAAACCTGAGGCTTGCTGCGCCCTGGGCTCAAGCTGGCACAGCAGGTCACCACACACTTTTCCTGGCCTAGGAACCTCCACATGCAGCAGTGCCACCCCAGCATTTTAATTTATTGGCCAAGCGACAGGCCACAATGCTGACTCACTTTCCCAATGCTGGCAAGGAGGGAGAGAAAACGCATTGCTCCTGCCCTGCTGATGGACACAGGCCTTTGCTGCGCCCTGGGCTCAAGCTGGCACAGCAGGTCACCACACACTTTTCCTGGCCTAGGAACCTCCACATGCAGCAGTGCCACCCCAGCATTTTAATTTATTGGCCAAGCGACAGGCCACAATGCTGACTCACTTTCCCAATGCTGGCAAGGAGGGAGAGAAAACGCATTGCTCCTGCCCTGCTGATGGACACAGGCCTGTTCCCAGGGACCAGGACCAAGCACAGTGGGAGTACCTAACAGTTGTCAGCCCAAAGGAAAGGGGAATAGCTGCAGCTCAGTGCCAGGTGTTGGCCCCCTTTTCCTTACACAGAAATGCTCCTTAGCCCATTTAAGCCTCTTTGGAAGGAGCTGCTTGCTGGCCCTGCAGCTTCAAGGTTAACAAGGCAAAGAAGGAGCAAGAACACCACCCAAGAATGACTTGGTCCATCCTGGCTGAGGCCCCCTATTTAAAAGCAAACACCCACAAAACTGAAAAACTTTTATTTGACAACAAAAGAACAAAAAGTTATTTACAGTAGTTGCTTGCTCCCTAAGTTCCAATCCAATAATTCCCCCATCCCACCTCCTTCCAGCCTGTCCCCTGGGGCAGCATGGCCACACCAGAGCACAGGCACAGCCACAGTGCTCCTGCACCCAGTGCAGCACTGGGATCTCCCCAGCCCTGCTCTGCTTTGAACAGGGCAGAAAAGGGGAGCTCAGGGAAAAGTTTCTCCCTTCCCTGGACGGAGGATAGCAAAAGGAAAGGACTACTTAAGGATGATGGGGAGGGCCCTAAACTTCAGGGTTTGCCCCAGAAAGGTGACAGAGGGCAAAGGCCACAGTCCTGCCCCTGGCGGGGCACAAGCCAGAGCTATGAGAGAGGAGGAAACACCATGGGCATGGGCCCAGGGCAGCACTACCCTCCTGCATCCTTCCCAGCCAGACAGCAGCAGCAGCCTGCACTGTGCAGGGGCCCTCAGCCAACATGCTGCACCACCTCCAAATCTTTCCATGGCCCACACTAGCACTTAGGGGCTCCCTCTAGTCTCCCCCTGCACCTCCTCTGCTCTGCTAGCTTTCCTCAGAACAAGAGGAGGGAGGGGGAAGAAAAAAAAAAAAACACATACCCCACTCCCCACCCCAAAACAGTACTTTTCCCTGCCAGGTCCTCATAGCCTGCAGCCCCTTGCTCCATCCTGGCACTGCTGACTCCAGCCACCACAGTCGAGGGGAGCATCAGGTCCTGAGGACATTAATACCTCTCTATTCATGCAACCTAATAATCAGGCTAATAACCTAGGATTAGTGTTTCTCAGGATAGATAATATAGGTGTGTACATATCGCTATTTAACTTACATTTTACAGTGAAACAGCAATATCTCAGCCCCCAGACCACAGCAGCACCCAGGGCCTTGGCTCCTACTCACCCTCAGCCCTGGTAACAGCAAGCAATGTCCAGCAGGGAACAGCCCTGGGCCCCAAAAATCACCCCTGGGCACAGCTAACACAGCCAGGCTCAGCTCAGGCATGGGGGCCCTGCCCAAGGGCAAGCGGGACCCAATCCAGCTCCCACTAGGCACCGGCTTGTCATTACAGACCCCCCAGCACAGCACTGCCAGGCGTGACCACACACAGCCCGTGGGAGGGAAGCAATAAAAGGACTTGAAACCCTCTGTTTTTCAAAGGCAGCTCATCAGCACTGCCGTGGCTAAAGGCAACTCCGCTTTCCAGGGACTGCTGTCCACAGGCTGTGAGCCTCATACTTGCAAAAGAAGACATAGGCTGCCCAAACTCAGACCATGCCTCTTTCTAAACATTAAAAAAAAAAAACAAACAGAAGTTGGGTACAAAATTTCACAGTCTCAGATTTGCATCCACCACCCCCCCACCCCAGCAGCCACCTGTGGTAGACGTTCCCCAGGCTCTGCATGGCACACTCTGGTCCAGGACACAACGTGCACATCTTCAGCAGGAACTCAAGAGAAACACAGGGAAGCTGTGGAAATGCTTGTAGAAAAAAAAATATAATAAATCACAATTAGAAGGAAAATGTTTCAAAGCAAACTTGCTAAACAGCACCATGGAGATTTCTACTGGCAGCATCTGTAACACCCTAAGACAGAAGAGGAGCGTCTCACTTTTTCTGTGAGAGAAAATGCCAGACTTCAGGTTTCCAGTTCATTTGATCTTTATCCTTCCCCAGGCAACGCAAGGCACCTGGCCAGCACAAGGCACCAGAAAGGCCCTTCACAAAAAAGGGGAACAAGGTAGGAAAAAAAACAAGGGGAGATCAGAGAGCTTTGGGAGAAAAAGCTTTTCATCCGTAATCCTTAAAATAAAGCATTAACTAGGAAAAAAAAAAAAGTTTCTCTCTGTCACTCCCTGAAGAAATAGTTTCAGCTGGACCCTTGTTTACAGGAAAGAAAGAAGAAAGTCAGCAGGTTTTCTGAGGGGGCTCCACAGCCTGACACAGTAGTGGACAGTTGTGGTAATAAGAGGTCAGTTAGCTGCAAAGGTCCTTTCACAATGGCCAAACTGCTATGGCTGCATCCCTCTGGCACCTCCCAAGGCACCATCCTTGCCAGGGCTTGCATGGAAAGGGGCTCTGAGGGCCATCGGCTACCTCCTGAGCACATGGATAGCCTAAGGATCACAGGATGGGACAATCTTCCCTCTTCCCCTGGGCCAGTGGAGATGCCGGAGCCCCTCAGGATACAGAAGTCCACTTTGGAGATGAGCTGGTTAGGGAGATGCAGTTAGACCCAGGCTCCTGCCAGGGGATGCCCTGGCCTGACTGGAGAAAAAGGACCTGTGGCTGGGAGGAGTCAGGTGGCCCCAAGGAAGGGCAGCCCAGCAGAAACTGGCCTGGGGGCGTTATTTGGAGATGGAGACTCCTGGGGGCTCAGTCTGAGGCAAAAGGGGCAGCTGCCCACTCTGCCTCTGCGATTCCAGCTCGGCCGCTTTCTGCAGTGCCACTTCTACCAGGAGCTGGAAGCTGCTGAAATCATCGCCAAAGAGCTCAGGGGGCGTCGGGGGCGGCGTGTTGAAGAGTCCGCTTGTGGGGCTGGCTGCGTCAGCCCGGGCCAGCAAGGCCATAGTGCTGCCAGTGGTGCCCAGCTGTGGTTTGGGGTGAGGGTCCGGCTCTACTCGCTGCAGGCCAGGCTGCTTCTCCCTCTCAGGGCTGCGGGCACTCACCACCGTGAGGTTGCTGCCCAGTGCCTGGGCAGGGTGGCACAGTACCTGCGGGCACACAGACATAGACAGCATCTTGGAGGCCCCTGCAGCTGTCACAGGAGGTACCACCAGCACACCAGAGCCCGTGGCAGCCCCTCGTGGCAGGGCCACGTCACCAGCTTTGCCCCCTCGGCGAGAGATGGTGAACTGATTGGGGTCCTTCCCGTCTTTGCGCAGCATGTCAGGGAGCAGCCGTCTCCTGGCGTTGATGAACCAGTTGCAGATCTAGGAGGGAGAAAGGAGTGCAGCACGGTCAGGCCGCGGGCCACTGCCACAGGACATGCCAGAGAGCTGCAACAGCAGGCGGTGGCAGTGACATGCTAAGCCAGCAGCGGCCTCGCAGGACCGGGCAAGCACAGGTCTCCTTCCCTGTGGTACCTCTTTCCTTTTGAGCTCCAGTGAGGCAGAGCTGCTCTCAGCCAGGGCTACCCAGGCGGCTCACGGAAACCACAAAGCCAGCTGCTTCCTGCCTGGTACCACCTCCTCTCAGGCAGACTGAGCTTCCCTTTTCTCAGGGCATGCCCCCCCATTGCTGGCACGCAGCCCCAAGGGTGCAACGCTCCCACCAAAGCCCTACCACTGTGCTGGCTCCCTGCAGCAGGAGCTTGAGGCTCTCCCGGCCAGCACCTCCTCACCCCATGGTGCGCTGAATGAACAGGGCTCAGCTTAGCTTAGGGGCCAAGCCACTCTGCAAGCCAAGATCAGGCTACACAAAGCCAGCAGGGACACAGCAGCTCTCAGACAGAAGCTGCTCATGCCCCAGGGGAAGATGGGCACAGCAACACCCCAAGCATGGCCCCAAAGTCCCAGCAACTCTGACTGTGCCCTGCAGCGTGCAGCCAAAGCAGGGCAAAACTCATAGCATCCTCCCAACCTTCCCAATGCCCCCCCTGACTGGAGGGTGTGGTATTTGCACAGAACCAGCTAAAACATCAACAGACCCCAGAAGCCCTCGGGTCTGAGTCCAGAGGGAGCTTTCCTCCCTTTGGTTGACTAGGTCCCTGCTCCAAGAACGTAGGTGTGCACGGTCCCTGCTCCAAGAACGTAGGTGTGCACAGCACTCTCTGACCTACATCAGCAGTGCCCCGACCACATGTACCAGTGCCAAAAACACAGCCACATCTGGAGGGGGGAGAACTGAGGCTGCAAAGAGCAGACTGACTGCTAGACAGCTGCCTGGATGGAAAACCCTAAATCCCAAATTGTCAACTCGCAGAGCTGCAACCCCTCACACCCTAATTGGATGGCAGGGATTACAAGAGTATGTTAACACATTTCCATGCCTCCTGCCAACTAGTAAAGTTGGAGTGAGCTTTTTAAAAGGACTTCCAAACATCCATACACCAAAGATGCAAAGCTCTGTGGCTACATCTCTGGAAGCCTTTCTGAAACACCGCTGCCATGTATTCAGTCTCTGCCATGTATTGTTTCAGGGGTTTTTATATATAAAGTCACATTAAAATAACTGTCTTCTTCCTAGAAAAGAATTAGAAGAGAATAAATCTGGCCAAAAAAAAAAAAAAAACACGATTGATCTTTCCCAAATCAACAGCTCTGTAAAATATTTCCCCTGGAGAGAGAGAGAGAGAGAGAGAGAGAGAGAGAGAGAGAGAGAGAGAGAGAGAACTTACCACAACTTCAATCACAGCAAGATCTCAGTTGTCTTTTTCTGTCTTTCAGACAATATTTGGCATTTAACACCCTCAAATACACCAGTCTCACCTCCTTTTCTCTTCCAAACATGCTCTCTTACAAGCCATAGCTGAGCACCCTTGATGTGATCTTTCAGTCCCATGGCCATCAACAGCTATAAATTGCCAACCAGACAACTGAACTCTCTGAACAAAAAGCCCAACCAACTCTGTGCAGCTTTAAGGGCACCTTCCAAAACTCCTGCTGGATTCCTCCATCCACACTTGCCCCTTCCAGCATTTAACTCCATTTGGAGAATGTGACCAAAGAGATGGACACATGCAAACATCTGGGTGAAACCCAAGGCATCACATGGCATCGATCACACCAGGGAGCTGGGATCTGCCTTGGCAGCTCTCCTCTAAAACAAGCAGGCTTTTTAACATAGCCATTGCTATGGCAAAAAAAGCATGGTCACTAAAGTGATAGTGACCATCACTTTAGACCACCGCTGTCCCCACCCACATCATGACAGCAGCATATCCCGCAGGGCCCACAGCAATCCCAGGAAGTAAAGGCCTGGGCCCCACTGCATAGGCCTCTCACTCACAAGCACGAGAGCATATGCAGGGAAACCTCCTGGCTACAGGAGCCTGACGGGCTGCAAAGCTTTTGTCCAGGCAGCCTTCCCAGGAGCAGGCACAGCATTCTTATCTCCAAACTTTTTGCAATGGAGATACATGGCTTCCCTGTTTCCCTGGAGAGCCAGGGCTGCCATGCTCGTACTCCATGGCTCCAGCTCCAAAGACAGTTGGACCGGGGTGGGG